ATTACTTTTATCTTCTTCGTTTCTTAAATATTGATCATTTTCTTTTACCTATCTTATGACACCGTCTTAGTATAAAACAGCCATGGGCGATTCTGAACTTTGGAAGGTTTATTGCTTAAACAGAGTCCATTTTTAACCGAGTGCCATTCCTTCGGTTGTAAGCCAACGCTAGCCAAACATTCCTTGATTTTTCGCTCTTCCCATAACCGTTTATAAGAAACCTCCAGGTCTTCTTCTTTACATCTTAGTCAATCAACTGTTGTCTGTTCGCTAGCAGTGCGGCCTCACGGTTTCAGACGTTTGGTCTACAATCGCCCTCGCTGTCCTAGCCTTACTATCACCTGAGAGACGTTCCCTCACCTGACATTTGATACGAAGCTCTATCTTGTAACTACGGTCATCCATCGAACTATTACATACTGCAGTCACAATAAAATAATATAACCAAGTCACTGTCACTGCATTTTACTGCACCTGTGTTTACGTAACGAAGAGATGCTGCGTGGCAATGGGCTGCTTCCGTGAACGGGACTGCGTTTTGAGAGCTGCTTCCTGTTCTGCAGCTGCCAGCTGGGAATCAGCCCGACTTTGCTGGTATCGCTGCCAGTTTCCAGCCGTGCCTGCCACCATTTGTCATCGTTTGCATCCACCACCTGCAGCACGTGACCGCAACGGAATTGCAGACTAGCCTCGGGACACGGATTCAGGCTGTCCTCCTGTGGACTGTAGTCGAACATCGCCCGCAAATGCAACATCGTGCTGCAACTAGGATCGTCAGGGGACTTCGCGACAGCTGGTATGGCGGCAACCGAGGCTCTGTCGACAGGAACGAGCTAAACTCACACATTTAAATTTTAAACACAAGTCATTATACAGTACATAACGTCACCAGACCTTCAGTGTAACGGAACTGTCGCCAGAATTGATCAATTTCACTACCTCTATCGGCTCCTTACCAACGACACTGATGCCGTTCACCTCGATCACTTGATCACCTACGCCGATGCACCCGCTGCGATCAGCTATACCACCTCGAATTACGCGGGCTATCACCAGCGCTGAGTTCTTCTCCAGTCTCTGAACATATTATCATACGTTATGCTTCAACTGACAAAACTACAGGTGGCACATGCAAAACAAGAACAAGGACCAATAACACCCAACCATTTGACATCTCGCTCTGATCATGTCATTCGCAAAGAACATAGCGCTATTTAATCCGAAACATCAGCATGCAACCAACTTTTAGGAAAGCTTACTTAAAACGTTTCATTCCTTATTAAAAATGATTAATAATTAAAGATATTAAGCTAGTGCGCTCCGCCATACAAGGATGGGCTTTTATATTTTACCGGAGCACACACTCATGAAACCGGTATAACAGAGCCGCGAAATCCAATCCAATTTTGGAGGAGTTATAAACATATATAAGGCATTGTGTACATGCACTTCCATACATAGCGCTAGAACACTGTATACCATTAACCGATCGTTTACAAATTTCTGATTTACGAATTTTCGCAACAATCCAAAAGTAAAGTTACACCTATTGTGTTCAAGATACAACTACTTTCTCTACAATAAAAAACTGACCTTTGTTCGAACGTTAATAAATAACGAACATGAGTAGTACATAAACCTGAGATTCTCAAAATGGGAAATTGTCCCCTCCGCTTCCACGGGGAATTTTAAGGTTTCGGGAGGAAATTGGGACCACATACTGAAACTGACCAAACACTGATTTTTCTACAAACTACAATTGTGCAGATTGTACATAATCTACAAAACATTACACTTTTCATCACAGATTAAATTAAAAATAAAGATAAGCATATCACTTTTCACCTGTGTAAATATTCAATTTATAGGTAT